CCACTAAAAATGGTGATTTTCCATAGTTACGTTAGTTTACCAGGCCGGGTAAATCATCCAGGTTGACCAAACTTTCGGATTCTTTCGGATTCGCTGAGTGCTGGCACCACCAGAGCCGCCACGAAGAGGGACAACTCCAGGCGGGCGGAAATGATGAAGGACCATGCCTCCGACATGGGAAAAGCCATGGGTCATATATCCCATAGGTAACTAATGGTTATAATAATGGCTATATAATGGTTATGATGATTATAATGGTTATCATATCCCCATAATTATGGTATACCCTCTGGTAAACATACAAAAAGCTATGGAAAATCACCATCTAAAGATAGGTAAATCAACTATTTCTATGGGCCATGTTCAATAAACCATAGGATCAATGGATTGGTTTAAGGGAAATTTGAAACAGGAAAGCCCCATCTTTACTCATATTTAATGGAAAAATCGATGGTTTCCGGTGAAGTTTTCCCTTAAACCAATCCATTGATAGGAAGAAGAGATGGGAAAACCCATATGATAATATGTTGGTCAAAAACATCAGGAGAAATGAACATAAAACAGAAAACTATGGGTGTCATATTGAAATTATGATGGTATATGATGGTGTAATATTGTAATCAGAAAACTGAAAACTAGGAATTATGATGGGTGTAATACCCCATCATATGGGAATGTGATAAATATGTATATATATATATAGAGAGATATGATAAGCATAGTATGTAAGTACTGGAAAAAGATGGTAACCGTGGTAAAACAATGTTCATAGTATGAAAAAGTTCTTACACAGATTAAAAAACAGTACGGCAAAATTAACATGAAAAGGATCGGGGTCTCCTGCACATTTTCCATACGATCACCACATCTAAACCCAGTGAGATTTACGGAAGATTCCCATTTGTGTGTATATACTGGTTGGTAGTTGAGCCATCCCTCTGAAAAATGATGGAGTTCGTCAGTTGGGATGATTATTATTAATATATGGGAAAATAAAAGCCATGTTCCAAACCACCAACCAGTATATATATATATATGTATGCATGTAATCATGCTTAATCATGCTTAACCATGTATATTGGGTTTACAAACCACTTGCTAAGCGGAACAATGGGACAAATCTTTCACAGGGTATAACTTAGCTTACTTCAACACTTAGAAATGGCAGTATTATGATGTATTATGTCTAGTATGGTTATGTAACAACTTGTCAGGCTAATCCAATCCCTCTTTAAGAACCCGTCAGCAGTTGGTTTAGACATGGGGCTGACTCAATCAACATATAGAAAATGGATGAAAATGGTAAGAAATGGATGAAAATGGATGAAAATGGATGAAAATGGATGAAAATAGATGAAAATGGATGAAAATGGATGAAAATGGATGAAAATGGATGAAAATGGATGAAAATGGATGAAAATGGATGAAAATGGATGAAAATGGATGAAAATAGATGAAAATAGATGAAAATGGATGAACATGGATGAAAATGGTAAGACATCATTTCCTCGGACGACCAAGAGTGAGGTGGAACCTCCACGTTCCAGCAAGCAATAGAACATTATAGAATCCAAAAAGCTCATAGGATTCAAACTTAAAAATTTAACAGTTGAATCAACAAAAAATGGAGGTGCTTTAAACCAAGCAGCTCGAAATCTAAGCACAAAAAAAAACCAGAGTGAAACCTTGGACTTTGAAGCATACGAAAAAAAAAAAAAAACACCGGCTCAAGGAACGTGTTCATGAACGTATACAATGATGGGTGAAAGTGGTGAACGTAACTAAGCATATATATATATATATATACATACATATATATATATATACATATGTATATATATATATGTATATGTATATATATATGTATATGTATCTATATATATATGTATATGTATATATATATATATGTATATATATATATATGTATGTATATATATATGTATGTATATATATATGTATGTATGGAACATAAATATCAATGGTATATCATGTGCTGAAACTCAAGTTGTAGCTCTTCATCACTCCCTGCTGACCCCGGCATCCTGAGTCAGGAAGTCTGCCTCAACCATGGACCTCAGATGCGAAGCTTCCAAGCAGATCATGAAAATCTCAGAGAATCAACACGCCAAACCTTAGATACCCCAGAAAAAAATAATGTTTAGCTTGCCGTACAATACAAATTTATAGCCAAAGGTGAAGTTGCATTCAAGTACCCATTCAAGGTTGACCAGGAATTGCCACAAAAAAATGGTGAAGAATTAACATGACGCTGATCTACTTTCTGTCCTCCGAAAAAAAAAGTACTGTAGGGGATAAGAAGTTGCATGTTTGACGTTGATATGGAAAACCACCACGTTTAGTGCGTAAACAATTATAAATATTCTATAAACATGGGATTTTCGACAGCTATGTAAAATAACCAGAGGGTGTATATATACATATATACATATATATATAATTATATATTTGATTATATATCTATATATATGTATATACGTCGATTAGATGGCAAGGGGACCCCTTCAAAGATAGAAAAGTTCAGCGTCTTGGACCACCTTCGATCAAACATTTACTCGGTGACTTGCTGCTAAACTGCTTTTAGAACAAATGAACAATGATATTCTAGAGTAATGCAATGTCCCGTAAGTCCTCCTAACTAATCCCCCCAAACAAAAGATCTAGCTATGTACACCCGAGTTCAACAGCCGCCCTTGGCCAAGCTCCCAGCGTGTCGCTGATATATGAACTCGAGTTCATTGCTCAGGTGTTTTCGTACGCTGATACTTCGCCTGCAAAGTTCATGTTGGGGATGCATCCAGCATATTTAATATGATACAGTGATATATATATATACACATAAACCATGTCTTTGGGGGTGTGACGTACATATGCATATGTAAATAGTATATGTATATAGTATATATCCGTATGTATATATGCACACATATGTATATATATATATACATACGCGTTTTTGCTGTTTTTAGATCAACGTTTTTTGGCCGCCAGAAATTCTTTGGGCAATGCTTCAGCGGCCGGGTCATTGGGACAATTTCTGAGTTGTTTGATCCCAACTTGTACAACGATCAACAAAGATTTTGAAACTTGGAACCAGGATACTGGATGTTAATGATAATCAGTGAAAAATAATGATCATTAACATTAAAGATCATCAATGATCATTAATGATGATTAATGATAATTAATGATGATTGCTGATAATTAATGGTACTTAATGGTAATTAATGGTAATTAATTGTAATTTATAATGATAATTAATGAACATGTTCATGACAATGGACTAATGAATAATGATAATCTTGTAAATAGTATATAATATCAACCCAATGTTTTTTTCAAACCGCCGGACTCTTCCCCAAAAGAACAACCCACAATTCGATTGGTTTGTGGCTTCAGTTGCGAGTTTCGTTCAACTCTTGGCATAGAAATGGTTGTTGAATCCCGATCTTGGGCTTTGGGGGGCTTTGAAAAAAATGGTTGCGCTCAATTGATGTTGGTCACTTCTCCAAGTTTGGTCAGTTACCCTCTAGATATTTGTTACAGTTTGCCGTTGAAGCCAAGGCCCAGTCCGAATCAGTTGATGATTTTAATGATGATTTGCCACACTGAAAAATGGCGGTTTTCCATGCGTTTCACAATTTTCCAGAGGGTACATCTTTTGGAAAAAAATGTTAAATAAGTAATCATCAACTACTCATGATTCTAAAATCACCATTTTGGTTGGTTACCCTCTGGTTCTTTATATAACATATCCATACATATCCATGGAAAAGTGCCCATTTTTAGATGATCTTATGATGAATTGCCTATTTCAAAGGGAATACCCTCTGGTAATTTAACATAGCTATTGAAAATGGCCCCTTTATAGTTGATTTACCTATTAAAGATGGTGATTTTCCATAGCTTTTTGTATGTTTACCAGAGGGTATATGTTTGAGAAACCAGGCGGTAGATCTCCCCCATGATAGAAGGTGCCCTACCTCCGCGATGCGGTGGCTGTCTTGATGCAGTAGTACAGAGGATCCTAGGCGAAGTGCCGGAAAGTCATACCTGCTATGCGAATTGAAGGGTGATTTCATGGGATATAGAGGCCACTAGACATGGGGATATACATGGATATACTATATGAATCTATATGAAACTATACGAGTATATATATATATGAATGTATGATGAGATCCCAAAATTGAATCAGAAACATGTTGTCAAAATTGTAAGTGTCAATTCTCATCCTTTGACTGAGGATATCTTCAGTTCGCCATCAAGACTCAAGGATACCAAGGCCCCCCCCATCCCGCTGGGTCCCGCTGGGTCCCGCACCTCTGCGTAAATCAAAGCTGCCAACTGCTGTGGGTGACAGGCAGCAAGCTGAGCCAAACGTCACGGCCAGCGGCGCTGTCAGATTCAGCAACAAGGTGATCCTCAACACAGTGAAATATGTAGTGAAATGCCCTCCAGTAAACTATAAACATAGATATGGAAAATGGATGAAAATGGCTCATTTAGTTCGATGATTTACCTATCATTTGTAAATGTGATTTCCATAGCTATGTGAGTTACCCAAAGGATACTGTATCTTCTTTTGACATTTTCGGAGGTTTCTTTTGAGAGGATTGGGGTTCGATGACTTTCAATGAAAAAACATCACTGCACGCGAGTAGAGAGAGTGAGTAACCTTGAATTTCACTGCTGGTTGGTGGTTTCAACCCATCCAAGATCGGTATGGAAAGTCAAGAACAGCCAAAAACTGACCCCCCCCAATTCATAAAGCCCCCCAAACCAGTGTGCTGAAAACCCTGATGATGTGTCCGATCGTTTGAAACGCCCGTTTTCAGCATCCCAATCCATTCCCAATCCCAAGCCCGGGGTTGGTAACTGTCCCATTTTGGGAATATTGGACATCACCTTATAGTAACCATCTAGTAGACCATATACCCAATCCCAAGCCCGGGGAAAAATCCCGAAAAAGTGGCCATCTCCTCTAAGTAGCTCCGGCTTTGCTGTTCCGACTGAGCCACCTCGCGGCGCGCCTCATAGCAATCCCAAGGGTCCCAAGATGGAGAAGGAATCAATTTCCCCTGGTATCCCCTGGGATACCCCTTCTTTTTTGGAATCTAGACCACTAGGACACTAGGGGGGATGAAACATGTTCACCACCTTCGTTGGGCTCATGTCGGTCAGCAAATTTAAGTCTTCATTTCGCACAATGCCTTGGAGGTCAATGATCAAAAATAGATCGAACCAGGAGAAGAAACCACTGATCGAACCAGGTCATGTGTGGTACTCACTTTGGAATGAAAAATAATGAAAACTTAAAAATAAACATGTTAAAACATCTTAAATCCATCGGCTTTTTGAAAGTACTCAAGTTCGGCCCATAGCCACTGAATATCAAACATGGCCTGTCTAAGCTGTCTGCCATACCTCAGGCAATGTTTGGCTCAGTGAAAGTTCAGAACCACAAAAGATGGTTGGAGCATCCACCATATCCACCATTTCTTTGATGCCTTCGAATTGTTTGAAACCTTGCTTTAATATTAGATTGGTTCATTTTGGAGTCCCAAAAACTGGGTATTTTTTTTCCACAAAAGAACGCTTTTTTGAGATCATGTCAATTTGCTCCTAACGAATCATGAATTCGTGATAATCGTGCATATGTTTCCCAGATTATCCCAGTATCTTCCCGTGATCTTACCAATAAATCACATGGTTTTCTTCACTTGGCTATAAACAAAAACCAGCTTCTGGGGGCCCAAGAAACCTGTCCGAAAACTCTCAAGGATCCCTGAAATTCGGGTGCTTTTTGGGCCAAATAATATAAAATATTAGTTATGAGATGAATAAATCAGTTGCAGAAAATTGGGATATTGGATATATAATTCATGATAATTCAATCATCCAAAAACATGAATTTCATGCTTCATGAGACCCTCCCTCAGAATTTAAGGCCAATTTTAGGTCGATATGGAAAGACATGTGTGTTCATCATGTTCCTGGCGATTTCGCCATGAATTTCCATGTTACTATGTTTACTCAACGGTTGGTTCTTTAAATAAACCAATGATACCCCGATTTATAAATTCTGGGTAAATTATAATATTTCACTAACCTGAATTGTTGGGCCATTTGGGGATGATTTCCCTTACTAACTATGATTTCCAGTGAGGGAGGACAGTGAGGTCGTTATAATTTACCCAAATACATGATTGTCCCAGAAATTTCCCGGCGAAGCCCTCGTGTTCCATGCTTCGGGGGTGTCTCCATGTGTATCCCACCTACTGGATCAAAACCCCCAGTGATCTATGGAATATGACCCCTTTGGTGGGCGCCACCTAGATCAGGACGCCCTTATTAAAAAAAAAAAAAAAAACACAAGTCCCCCTGGTTGGGGCGTGTAAAATGACAATTCCGAATTTCATGTTTTTTTTTTGAATTTCTGTAAAAATGACAATCTAGAACGTTATAAAATGTGAGATATACTGAAAACGATTTCAAAAACTGGGTACCCCTGTAAAATGCCCCGAAAAAACGGACCCCAGGTCAGCCCACTCCATAAGGTATATTACAAGGGGGATACCTATTACATCCTATTACATATGTATGGGATGAAATATGGGTCATATATACGGATTTCCTAAAATGGGGGTACCCCCAAATCATCCATTTTAGATGGGGATTTTCCATGAAATAAACCATCCAATGCTCGCTTGGGGTACCCCCATTTAAGGAAACCCCCATATGGATTATGAACCACTTACATCTTTCCATGGTTATGTTAGTCATAACCCAGACCTCGACACACCCCGGCAATGGCGAAGGCACCTCTTCACAGTCGGCATCGATCTCTTGCCGTTCCTTCGCCAACTTGTCGCTTTCCTCGCACGCAGATGATGGTGGGAGATCAATTCCAATAACTCTGGTTTATAGATGTTGATAGGGGGTTTACTATAGTTGATGCGGTATATTTATAAAATTTTATAAAACAACTTACAACCGGGGTGGGCCCACGTTGCAGATGAGCTCAAAATCCTTGCGGGTTGATTAGAGGGGATGATTTCTTGTTCAACTGCGAAGGCGCCCTATGTCTGTTCTAGATTTGCAAATAAGGTTCAACATGTCTGTTCTAGATTTGCAATTACCAGAAAAAAAAAAGCCTGTTGAGAGTATTGAGGATCCAGTGACTAGCCAAGTGCAATCAAGGTTTGAATCCAGCCCCACATGTGCCAAGGTCAAAACTCATAGAGCATGGTCACCCATCCCACAATAGGAATCCTTATAAATGATATTAAAAAGTCACTGTTGGGAAAACCCATTGCGCCACTGCAAAGCTGGTTTTTTGCTTCGGACTGCAATGCACCGAGGTCTAAGCTTCCACTAAAAATCCACTGGCACAATAAGTATGATGCCCTTTCACACCAAACAACAGTGGCAGTGGCTGGTTCGCTCGCACCAAGTCTGTCAAAGGAGACTCTGCATCAAGATCATGACCGCCGTAAATATCATAACCAGCCAGCAGCCTGAGTTTTGGCAGCAAAACGCTACTGCAGCACATATAAGCACGAATCTGCGGGAAGTCTTGGTCACCCAGCCGCAAGCCCTTGTCATTTTTTGTAATTGACACACAAACTTATCGAAGGGACCTCGTCGTCTTCTTGGAAAAAGCACGTAAGGAAGCATTCCATCTGGTAGCCATCGAAAACCACTGTTGTCTGGTCTGTGGAAAGAGGCCAGACAACACGGTTGTGTCCTGGGAAAAGGGTCTTCACCTCGTCCTTGAACGTCAACTTCTTGAAGGTCACATGGCCGTCAATGGTGTCAGCCGCAAGGGCCTTAACAGCTTTGAAAAAGGCCAGCACCTCGGTGAGCTCCTGGAATTGGACTTCGCAGCATAGGGTCACATCTGGAATCATCTTGAGATCTCCTAAGCCAAGACATCTCCAGAGCCCGGAACTTTGCCAAGCACCTGGCAGATGTTGCCATGGGCCTTCGGCCTTCGTCATTCGTCTGCATGTGTCCACTGCAGTCCTCAGGGCATGAGAAGCCGCTGAAAGCTCTACCCTCTGGTAAACTAACATAGCTATTGAAAATGACCATTTATAGTGGATTTTCCCATAAACAATGGTGATTTTCCATAGCTATTTTGACATAACCAGAGGGTAACACCGTGGTATCCAATGAAAGATCCAGCACGTGCACTAAAAGTGCGTCCCTCAGCTCATGAAGCCGCATGGCAGGGTTTCAAACAAGGCAGCTGCTGAAATTTGCAGCGTGGATGAGAACTCAGAATGGTTAAAAAGGCTGAAATGTCTGGGATTTGGCATGGAAACTGCATGACTTGTCGCCCAATGATGGGTTCATTTCTCCTTCTGAAACCATTGTTTTGAGCACAAATACGACACTTTCACGCTTTCAGCTTGTTGGAACTTGTCACAATGCCAAAGCCATATTTTGACGGCCACGCTGCGTGACACTCGATCCCCCTTGGCCAAAACACAGCATACGCCAATTCAAAAACTTCATTGTAAGAATCATTGTTTGTACTATACATCTCAATACTGGATGCAAATGATGGTCACATCCAAAAGGAAGCCCCAAATCATGTCCGCATGTCCGTAATGAAGCGACTACGTGTGAATCACGGAGCAACCAAATCATGCGTTGCTCCCGGCTCCCGCGTGTCATGACTTGAAAACGTTTGTGGTAAATTCCTGAAAGGTCTGCGGGTCAATCAGGCGTGTGTTTGTGTGCGTGTGCGCTGCTGCTCCGTTGCACACAAGCAATCAAACAACACCTGTGCGTTTGCTTCACTCTGAATGGCCCACTCGTGTTTTCCCTCTGGTAATTTAACAGTTCGCTATTGACAATGGCCATAGAAATAGTGGATTTTCCCATTAAAAATGGTGGATCTTTCCATAGCTATTTTGACATAACCAGAGGGTTGTCATCTTTCCAGTGATGTTTTGCTCACCCAGGAGCTCGGGTCTACCTTCCCATGTTTCTTGAGTCGGAACCAGATCCAAAATCTGATTTGGTTACCCTCTGGTTATGACTCACATAGCCATGGAAAATCCCCAAAATAAATGGAGGTTTCTAGCTGAGAAAATCATCTATTTCTATGGGCCATCTATACCATGGCTATGTTAAATAACAAGAGGGTATTTGGTTTTGTCCCAAAAGAAACTTGGGGGATAAAAAAGCAACTTTGATTGTTGGTCACAGGTTCCTTTCTTTGCCAGAAATTGGGCGGTACTCTAAATCCACAAATTTTCATAGATCATATTCCATCGTATTCCCATTATTCTTACCCTCTGGTAAACTAACATAGCTATGTTAAAATAACAGAGGGTACATTCTGCCGATGTCCCTGTCATATTCCCCCGTATTTATAAATGATGTTCCCTAAAAATTTCCCGATGATATCTCCGAATCATATCCCCAGGATGTGCAAAAATATCCCTTTCATATCACCATTGTATGCCAAAAAATGTCCCGATCATGTCCCCGGGAAATCCTCAGCATATCCTCATCATGTGAAATTTTGTATCCCCAATATACCCCACATCATATCGCCATCATATCCCCATGTTCATTGGTTAAATCTACTATCTCTTTGTGCTTATATAAACAAGTGGTGAAAGTGGCTCTGGTGGTCCTCGCTCTTCTTGCTCAACAAATCTTCCAACTCCTTAGACATCAGGAGCCGATCTTTATCAAATGAGCCCCAAGACCCTGGTGATTAATGGGGTAAACCCAATGCAAACCTCTAGTGGGGATGGTGTCTTGTTGGTTTTACCACATTGATGGCTATAAAAAAGGCTAAATCGACTGGCTAAATGGGGATTAGTATGGATTACTGGCTTAGTAGTGAACTTAATCATGTTTAATAGCTAATTTGATTGGGATTGTGTTGATAATCCAGCATGGGAATGTCGGCTGCAAGCAACCAATAGAAGGCAAACCCTGCGACAACCACGTCAACGGGCTTATACAGGTATTTCGTAGTGGACTAGAAGACTCCTCACAGAAAATTGCAAATATAATATATATATATATAATATATATAACAAAAACTAGTCATCAAGCAGGCTGAGTTGTGAGGATTGCTCAAATGAGAGGATTCGTACCCAAGACAATATTTTCGTAAAGTCACCTGCGAAATAGGGAAAGTCACCGACACATTCCCTGATCTTGACAGGACCAGCCCTGGTGTTTCACTTATCAGCATGGGAGACGAACCAGCCAAAAGGACCTGTTCAGAAAAACATTCACAATTTGCATGTACCCAACCTGGTTTATCAACAGTTAGCTATTGAATAAAAATGGCCATTGAAAGTTCGTGGATTTTCCCATTAAACCATGGTGGATCTTTCCAGTTCGTTATGGGACAGTTTACCAGGCCGGGTACCATGCTGCCATATGACACAGGATATGGTATCGGTGGAATCCCTGCCGTCCGACTGTGTAAAACACGGCTCCTTTAAAGGTGGTTGATCACCGAGTCTCATTCATTGTTGGTATTTGGAAGGGGCTACAGCAGACACATGATGTTTTCACGAGTACCATGTTTGTGTGTGTGTGTGTGTTTGTTCAATTTTTTCCTTTGTTCACTCGAAGTTCAACCCCTTCAGTGTTCTTGGCAGCGCATGCCAGCCTAGAATCATAAGACATATATACAACTAAACTACCATCAGAAGGTGAGCCAGCTAGTGGACCCAATCTACAAATCCGAAAGTTCTTCAAACATCAAGCTGTGTTGGTTGAATCCCAACGACACTTGTGAAATGCCTATTGTTGTGGGTGAAATTCTTCAATTCGAGAGGAATGTCTCATTTCACCCACATCAAACAGGAGCTGTCAACCAGTCTCAACCACATCACCGCATTTTCTCGGTCTGTAGATAGCAACCCTGGTGTTGCAGTTGAAATCTCCATTCGTAATATTCCATCATATCTCATATTGACCGTTAATATATCCCACATGTTTCCCCATCATGTCGCTATGATTTCCCATTTCACTCCCAGCTAGCTGTGTAGGACCGTTTTCCGTGGCTCTGTGAAATTCTCCATAGCTATGCCATTCAGAAATGCCATGAAAACATTCCATGAAAACATCCCATGAAATCCATTCATATTCTGTTCATATTCCATTAACATCCCATAAAAAAACATCCCATCAAGAATCGCGTTTTTTTTCTTACTGGTGCGTTTTACGTAGGGAATGGGGGTTGCTGGGGGTTGCTGGGGGTTGCTGGGGGTTGCTGGGGGTTGCTGGGGGTTGCTGGGGGTTGCTGGGATTATTATTAATGGTTGGCCAGTGGATCATTCCCGAAAATTCCCTACTAAGCATCAGCAAGTCAAAAACCACCACCGAATCGGACGACGTCGCCTTCATCCTCTGCTCGGAGACCATGCGTTGTTCCGTGCCGCTGGAGAAGGCGAATTTCTTGGCAAGCGGCAAGATATGCGGCGAAGGAGGATTGAAGGCTCCTTGTAAAAAAGCCCTGTTGATGGATGATGGATGATGAGTTATTGAAAAAAAATGTGATTTACTGTAAAATGCTGATTTAAGATTGATTCCAACCATCATTTGTCATTTAAATGATGATTAGTTACCCTAGGGTAAACAAAACGATGTGGAAAACCCATGGGAAAACCCTAGGATATGATCTACAAATATGTTTTTCCCGATTTTTCACATTTTTTGGTATCTTTACAGCAGGGTATTTAATATGGTGATCTAACAATCATTCGACAAACCAGCATGTTGATGGAAACATACTAGGGATAAACCGCCAAAATTGGAACATAGTTAATGGGAATATTATGCGAATATAATGGAGTATAAAAAGGAATGAAAATATCATTGGAATATCACCAACAATATGGTGACATTTATGGCTGTGCCGGCTTACCCTTTATTATGTCCTCCTTTTTTTTTTAACTGGCTGGTCGATGTGAATTTCCCAGCTGGACCAGCTGGATTTAGAAACACACATATACAATTATATATATAACCAAATGTCCCCAATTTTTTTTGCATGGATTGTCTTGCATGACCTCACAAAAGGCGGGGCTTTGAACGCCCCTGATAAGGCATCATTCTGCGTGAGGAAAAATGAATCGATGTACCTTCCACCAACTCACCAACTCACTTACCGATCAACCTTCATGGCTCCGGGTGGATCGCCGTACAATGTTGGCCACTGGATTCAGTTTGCGACTGGATGGTTCAAAGTAAACACCCCTGAAAATAAAGGCATGATGCCAGTGGATGTTTTTTGAGCAATAACCACTGATATCCAAAAGCATTCCACTGGATTTTTTCCGAGTAGTAACCGGTGATATCCAAAAAAGGATGTTCCTGAGTAAACACGGGGAATCTAAAAGCTTGTCACTGGATGTGTCTAAGTAAACGCCACTCCACAAAATGTGCCAGTGGATGTTCCCAACTAAACTCCATGAGACAACAATCATCACCATAGTCTTTTAGTCTAAACACATACTGGGATCTACAAGTTTAAGTAACCAATCATCGGTACCTTTCTGGTCCTGGTTCAGTGAATACAGCCTCAACGATGCCTCAATGCTTATCTGAAAGTGTGCCGCTCAAATTGCTAGTCAAAATTCAAAATCCCAGCACTAACTCTTAGTCATAAATTGCTAAGATAAGTAGTAATAATCCTAGTGAATCCCAGCACGAACTCTTAGTCAATCCTCAATAAATTGTAGAACTAGGTACTCTAAGTCATAGCCGGTTATTGTAATGGATGTGTATTTCCCCAGTCACATGAAGGTTTCGAAAAAAAATAGGCGTACCCCCAACTCATCCGTATTTCAATAGGTTTTTCCATTTGGGGTACCCCCATGACTATGGAAACCCCCACCTGGTCATTTTTAATGGGTAACTTGACCAATCCCCAGTCATATGAGCAGTGTTCAAAATTCCTCTATCATTCCATTTAATCCTGGTTGGTTTATAGGGATTCCCCGTTCTTGGATTA